AAGAGTCCTGGCCAGAACACATCTTAAGGCCAATATTCAATAATAATCATAGCGCCACCTGCTGGCAACAGGAAATGACTTTGTATACACTAACTTAAACATGCAATGTCCAATCTGCACCAAACATTACATGTTTAGTAAGAATACTGGCCTGAAGACATCTACATGTCAATGTTCTGTAATAATTATAGTGCTACCTGTTGGCAACAAGATATGCCATGCTTTACCCTAACTCAAACATACCATGTTCAATCTGCACCAGACTTCACATGTTTGATAAAAGTGCTGGCCTGAAGACACCTACATGCCAACATCCAGTTATAATCATAGCGCCACCAGCTGGCAGCAGGAAGTTTGGCACATATGAATGACTTTGACATATTCCTCCTATATTTACCACTTATCGCATATTGCCCACTGTTTGCTGTTTTCCTAAAGCCACCGGGTGGCGGTGAGCCCGGGTGCGAGGGCCCGTTCATCGCTGCTTGCAGCTTTAATTCTCCTTGTGTTTGCAGTCCTGTGCGAGTTTGTCATCGAATGTTGTGTGTGCCTTGTGCCCTGCCCTGCCTTGCCAGTCGGTTTCCCCTACGGGGTAGTTTATGTTTGTTTTATTTTGTTATTAATAAAAGTTATAATCCCTCCTGTGATTGAGCCTTCGCCTCATCCCTTCATCCCCAACTCTGACACCAACTAGATTTTTTTTCACCATCTTTTCAAGTTCTCTACCTCGGGTCCAAAATAAATGTAGAAAGATTATGCAAACTGAAAACACTAAATACTTTTGTGATCTGTTTCCATTTGTTATTTTCAAAAGGGAAACACTGACATGGATGTTTACAGACCAGAGGTCACATTTGTTTTAAACTACAATGGGAGAGACGGACTTTTGTTTGCCTTTATTTTGTGCTGTATTATTTGGTTACTGTGTTAATTCTGTTTCAAAAGGCAGCAATAAATAACACTTTAAAATCTAAAGAGTGTTCATGTGATTTTATACATTAGTAGTGTTGTGAAATGAAATGCATGATAATTGTGAAACTGTGATTATTCTTCAGACTATAATCGTACCAAAAAAAATCTATAATCGTTGCACCCTACTGTGAATGAATACTTAAGCAATGCATTACTTTTTTTTTGTTATAAGTTTCCACATGCATATTTTCATTAGAACATTTAAGTATATGAGGAATGGGCCAAAATACCAGCAACAGTGTGTGACAACCTTGTGAAGACTTACAGAAAACGTTTGACCTCTGTCATTGCCAACAAAGGGTATATAACAAAGTATTGAGATGAAATTTTGTTATTGACCAAATACTTATTTTCCACCATAATTTGCAAATAAATTCTTTAAAAATCCTACAATCTGATTTTCTGGATTTTTTTTCCTCATTTTGTCTCTCATAGTTGAGGTATACCTATGATGAAAATTACAGGCCTCTCTCATCTTTTTAAGTGGGAGAACTTGCACAATTGGTGGCTGACTAAATACTTTTTTTCCCCACTGTATATATACCAGACATGGAACAATCAGTCAATGGAGGGGAAAATGCTCATAAATTTGCTGAGTTGACCCAGATTTGACTAATCACAGAACAAGAAAGTGAGGTAATTTCCCTGCAGAGGCTGTCTAAATATGATTTTGGACACTGTCCTGGTCCTGCTGAGTCATAACGTGTTATTATATACAGAAAGAAAACTAAACATGCCTCTGTAGAAGTGGAAGTGAATGGAAAAAGCACCAAACACATGACTGATATGATCACATGATTTAAACATTAGTAAAATTTAGACAACCTGGACATCAAACACACATCTTATTAATGTTATGATTTAAACATTAGTAACACTAAATCAAGCACAGTATCTCATGTTCTAACAAGGCAGTATGCCTCTTTTGGTGTGAAGAGCCTCCCATAGCTCCTACTTCTCACATTACAAGCCAAAACATGTAGCAGCATATATTAAATTAGGCCCAATTAAGTCATCACTACAAAGAACACACATTAGTTTTGAAAATAATGTGGGTTCAATTTCTAATTTAGGTGGAGTAATAAAATACCTAATAGCTCCATTTAGGAAATCCCCTCACACTGGTAAAGGTGACAGGCTATTGCACACTGAAAGGAAAGCTCAAACCATCTGTGCAACCATCTATATGTTTGTTTGAATACATGCCGTGGCGAGCATGTGATCATGAGCAAGCAAAGCAAACCACTGATGGTTGATGAGGAAGAGTTTCCGTACTTGTGGGAACGCTGCCAATGAGGAAAACAGGGAACCAAGATCCCTAAAGAAATGTGTCTGATGACACAAGCGAGAATTTCCATGTCTCATGCACCATTTTTAACATCCATGCCCAGCCAAACTGGACAAAGTCATGGAGGGAGGCAGCTATTTTTAAGTGAACATGAGATGGTGTGCCTGTTTTTAGCTGCCTTAGTCAATGCAGCAACTACTGATGAAGTTGCCCATGTAACAAAAGAATATCAGTCAACACCTCAACTGAAGGCAAAATTTGCTCAAATTTCCAGAGGAATCAGCAATTAGTGTGCACAAGTGAAGTGGTTCACATTTGTGCTTCTCTGGTTGTGAAGTGTTTAGACCGCTCATACTCACACATTACACAGATGCCATTATTTTCCCAACTAACAGGGAACATTCTCAGAACTTTGGCAAATGTTCTGGCAAGGTTCTCTCAAAGTTATGAACAAATATTCCTCCTATAACCACAATAGAATGTTCATTCAAATTTATCAGAGCTTTAATTACGTTCTCAAAATGTTAGCACATAAACGTTATACACCATTTATGGAACATTGGGAGTTCTTATAACATTAATTTTACACATTACTTTCAGAATGTTCAGAGAACAATCAAAAAACGTTTTTCAGAAACGTTCCCATTTTTTGTAAAAATATAAAATAGAACTCTGTTTTCTCATTCACATAAGCATAATAAGGTGGAGTTTGGAGTGTGACTGTTTGAGGTTTTGGACAGGTGTCTTTTATACTGATAACAAGTTCAAACAGATACCATTAATACAGGTAACGTGTGGAGGACAGAGGAGCCTCTTAAATAAGAAGTTACAGGTCTGTGAGAGCCAGAAATCTTGCTTGTTTGTAGGTGACCAAATACTTATTTTACCGAGGAATTTACCAATTAATTCTTTAAAAATCCTACAATGTGATTTTCTGGATTTTTTTTCTCATTTTGTCTCTCATAGTTGAGGTATACCTATGATGAAAATTACAGGCCTCTCTCGTCTTTTTAAGTGGGAGAACTTGCACAATTAGTGGCTGACTAAATACTTTTTTGCCCCACTGTATATATATATATATTTTTTTTTTTTTCAGAGAACTTTTTTCCTACACTGAAGAACATTCTAAATATAAATTATATTGGGGCGACTGGGGCTATTTGTCACAATGGGAAGTTGACACAATGCTTTGTCTCAGTAAAGCATGCATTTAAAGCAATAAAGCATAACAGCATAAATGTTTATCGGTTTCAAACACAGTAAAATAATTAATAATAACTATAATAATAAATATAAAAATATATACTGTATATATATATTTTTTATTTTATCCTCCAAACTAAAATTAGTTTCATAATATTTTTATAACTGTTTCTTAAACAAGTGAAAAACAGCATTAATTTGGATAAGATTCAGAAAATCTATGAACGTAAACAAAACACTAAATTAACTCTATATCCTATTTTTTTATTATAGTTCTAAAAGTAAAAAGAAATATTAGTTATAAGATGTCACATGTCTTTTATGTATATTAAATGCTATACATTTTATAATTGATTAATTGCAGAACTTACAAACATAATGTATTCATATGCTTGTATGTTATATTTTACATATTGCTTATGTGCTGATTAATGGTAGGCTCTCATGTGACAACTTACCTCATATACTCTAATAACATTATCTGCTATTGGGGCATGTTGTCACAAAAGTTAAATGAACGTATATTATTTATGTATGTATGGATGTATACATGTAGTCGATAGTGTAAAAAGTAGTCCCGGCCTCCCTTATTTAATCTAATGTACTTTTTGCCTAATTATTTGCCTTTTCAATACAAATAAGGTATTTTCAGTTATCATGGAGAACTGAGCAGGGGTGCAGCCTTCATACAACATGAGTCAGACCACAAAAATGAAACCAGGACCCAGCCGACTGTCATCTACACTGCTGTCATAGACACTTGTGCAATTGAATAAATAGACCAAACCACAACAAATTACATTCATAACATCCTGAAACTATATGTAAGGACATTTAGCTGGTACTTATTACAAATCACACCCAGACAGAGTGATCTATAGAAAATGTTATTTTGTAATAATAACTCTCTGACTGTGCATTTTCCAGCTTATTACGCCAGCCAGCCAGCCAGACAGACAGCCAGACAGACAGACAGCCAGACAGGTAGGTAGGTAGGTAGGTAGATAGATAGATAGATAGATTGATAGATTGATAGATAATTGATTTGAGTTGAAATTATATACCTTACCTGGAGAGGTCCGTTTCGGCCATTATTCATAAACATTTGACCACTGAATATTATATTATATAGTATATATGTCCAAATATATATATATATATAAGGTGGTCTTAATTAATTCAACCTGTTGTGAATTTGATTTCGTCCCACAGTAATGTAGTAAGAAAAGCACATGCTGGAAGCCATAAACAGTATCGTTCTCAAAAAACGGGGTTTTGTATTGGCCATGGGAAACGTCTGTCGGGGCAGTTATCACGACAGGTTACTGTAAATTAATCACCCTACTCTCTAGGTATGCCTGTTGGTGAAACAGATTTTTATTTTGTTTTGCCACTGGCTAAAAATACTGAAGGCGTGCTTTACAACGTCGACAATCGGTAGGAGCGGCATACGGGAATATTATCGCCCTGCCCACTTGGTATTTTTTCCCCCCTCTTTTTTTTCTCTTTTCTCGTGAGCATAAAACTGCACTGGGAGCCTCATGAGCACAGCATAACGCTTCCAGCGCTCGTTCGCAACTTCTTACAGCAACATTCCTTCACAACAACACTTCACTATGTCCGATACGCTGGGCGAAAGTCTCATACGGGTAAGTTCAATTGAGTTTACGTGTGTTCTGTTTGTTTGTTTTTCCTTTTGGCACCGTGTTAGAATTGGCAAGTGTGTTTCATCCTCCTGATTCATATGGTTATTCTTTTTTTTCCAGAATCTCATCAACCTGGGTTTAGATGAGCCGTTTCTACAACTATCCCGCCCGTTCGCACCGAAGAGCGTCAGCTCCGAGCGGCTCACCGACGACGTCTGGCCGGCGGACTCCCAGAGCGACCGAGCGCCAAGCAAAGCCCAGTTTCCCCTTAAACCAGACCGATCCATGAGTCTGACTGACACCTTCAACAGAATGAAGCCCCACGACGTCCCACCACCGCCCGGATTTCCTCCCCTGGCACCCCTGCCTTCGAACCGGTACAAGACCGAGCTGTGCCGAAGCTTTCAAGAGCACGGCAGCTGCAAATACGACAGCAAATGTCAGTTCGCCCACGGCGAGAGCGAGCTGCGAGGTCTAAACCGCCATCCCAAATACAAAACTCAAGCCTGTCGCACTTTCTACCAGTTTGGATACTGTCCGTACGGAAGCCGCTGCCACTTCCTCCACGGGGAGAAAAACTCTCTGGACGGGGACGACCAGAACCCGCGTCAGCTGCGTCAGAGCGTCAGCTTCGCCGGTTTCACTCGCAGCAACTCTCCCCCGACTTTATACGAGCCCCTGAGCTTCACCCGTGCGCCTTCGGTCTCTCCCCCTCCCGCTGACATCTTGTCCCCAGTCTTCAGCGACTCTTCCCGAGACATGTTCCCCTTCAGCCGTCACAGTACCGGAGATATCTACAGCAACGCGCCCTTCACGCCAGAGCCTCGGTCGCGGTGTGTCTGCGGACACGGAAATAACTTGCAGGGCTCCCGCAACGAGCTGTACATGAAGGAAGACCTGAGCAAAGCCAACCTGCAGCGCTTTTCCTCAGAAGACTCGCTGTCAGACCGCGAAAGTTACAGCAGCACCGGCAGCTCGAGCGGCTCTGAGTCACCCACCTTCGACGGCTCGAGCGGGAAGCGCCTCTCTGTTTTCGCGCGGATGTCTGTGTCTGACTGAGGAGGACTTTACCGCCATTCCTTCCCAATCATTCAATCAGTCAAATATAATATGCAACGAGTCTTAATACTGTTAATTTATTATCATTGTGTGTGTGTATATATATATATATATA